TAACAACTGTAGTCGGATATTTACAATGTGATACAAATTATCTTAATCATATTTTATATTTAGGCTAATGCCAAAGCCTTACAAGTCGTCAACGGTGAAACACTTTTTTGTGCTCAATGAGTCATTGAACGTTCATGGCCTATTTTTGCTAGGCGGAAACAGCCGGACGCCACCCCCAAACGGGGGACTGTGGGGTGGTTGTTTGGGAATTGAACGCATGAGGCGTTCGATACCCTAACAACTGTACCCAAATAAGACTTTTTCTTAGGGTTAGGACTCCATCGCATACGCATTGGACCGCAGCAGAGCAAGAATAACATTACGGCGAAAAATGCCGTAATCAGGTGACTATAAATTCCACTGTGACTTGTCTTTAAAGAGGAATGCTTGAGAATTGCGTCAGTTACTTTGGCTTCCATTTGGCTCCAATGGATAGTTTGTGACCATCTGTCTCATAGCACCTCCACATTAAAGCATGTCCTACGGCGAGGAAAAAGGACGCGAATTACAAATGTTTAACCGTTCCCATCTGCACTTTTTATCCTTTTAGTTTTAACATTGTCAAAACAGGAATTAAGATGATTTTTTTAAACGATTTTATGACCTGGTAACTAAGACTTTTAGGTCATGACTTATTTTAATTTATATTCTTAATTTAAGTTAAATTTATATTAATGGAGTGAAATGAAATGAAGATGATTAAAAAATAAAGGTGAAAGAACGTTGGATTCCTGTTCTATGTGAAAACATTGTCTCAAATGTATTTTCAGTACCCACGGCAGAACATTCTTGCTTGGAGCATTTGCATGTTCATAGCTTTAGTTTCTAAAATATTCATAAATACATTTTTACAGAATTGAAGTTAACTTTGTTCAAATAATACGTCTTATAACCGAACAACATAGAAAGTCTGATTCAGTTTGCCGGTCTTGCTATAAGACTTTTCAAACTAAACGATTTACATACAAAATAGGGTACAGACAAGTACACAAAGGTGCTCGTTCACAAGGAACATGTTCTCTGGATCTTGTTGAGTCCTCACTTAAACCTCTCCCGGGAAATGCGTACGTACACTCGTGCTCGTAAATACGAAACGGAAAGCATAATTTATAGAAACCACAGCTACACTCGGTAAATATAATTTTGTTAATAAAGGAATTCCAAATTCTACAACTATAACTCAATGAAATTGCATATTTGTAATTGTATATTGTAATTGTGTCATTCTTGTGCTTGCTAAGTCAAGGTTTTCGAACAGTATGCGATGCATAGCTATTGCTGCATATCGAGGAAGTTTCTTAAACACTTAATAAATAGTAAATTATATATAAACACATTAATAAAAACCCTAAAATCAATAATTCACGTATTAATAATATATATTTGCTTATGAGAAGGCACATTCGTGATATTTATACTTGATATTAGCGCATTCATAGCACAATCTAGTCAATTCACCTAACAGATAATCCGCACCGTCATGAGCGATGACGGTGCGGAATTCAAAATCGAGCCGTGATAGTCTTGTTCCTGCCATTAAACTGTTTCCACGCCATCGATTTCCAGTTAAACTGTAAGAAGGATTTTTTAAACAAACAGTGTCAAATAACACTGATTCATATTCGTCATATCATAAGTCATAGCGCTATCTTAATTTGCATTACATTGTGCTGATTAACATCTCTAACGTCTCTGTCTCCGGCCATTTTTTTATTGGTTAGATAGATTAATAACCACTCTGCCTATTTATGCCGCGAAACAGTAATGCGTTCCTATGTGAAGGGCGGGGCAGTCGCTGTCCTACAGAACTGAAACTTAGAGCTTACATCACAAGGTGGGTGACGGCATTTGCGTTTTTGATACGCTCCGGTAAACACTTAACACCAGATGAGCCATAAGCTCGTTCATCCATCCAACCAACTACGAAAAGCTCATAGCCCATCTACAGTGTATTATAAAGTGGTTACCCTCCTTAAGAGATGAGACTAAAGTCGCAATTGTACTGTATAACCGGTGGCACTGAAAACCAGACCGCATTAATGCTTTGTGGCCGAGAGACATTTTTTTTTTCACAGGAGAAAGTCATCGCGGATCCCCACCCGCGCGGCAGTTGGGTATATGGGAGTTGAACCTCACTAAAAACTCCTGCCGCTCACAGCTGGCACCCTATCTCAGACCGGGCCGGAGTCCAGTCGGGGCTATTGAGACGGCGGGACAGGGTTGACGCCGAGCACATTACATCCATCCCACCAACCCGGCCGAGAGACATAGGTTGTTTTGCCTATCCGTGCGGGCTCACTGGACGCGCTTCCATCACTAAATCCTGGCTGACGATCGCAGAAGACTGACGAGTGCTTCCCAGTCGCCAGTAAATCCCGTATTCGCCTTTTATGAGACCTACGATAAGAGGCGATGATATTCAAAACTGTCATCACACAGCCTGCATTGAAGTCTAGCATGAAAGGTGGCAATGTTTCTGGCGAACCACAACCGCAAGCCGGATCTACTACCAGTGCTTAAACTAAAGACGGAAAGGTGGTATTATTATATAGAAAGAAAACGTACTATGGTATGCAGCAGTAGCCTCAGTAAGTGTCCTTCCTCCTTCCTTCAATTAAAAGAAACGTTGCTAGCCGTAGTACGTGACCTCTAACCTAAAATCCTATCGTTGGTTGAGTAGTTAATACCCGAGATACTGTACCAGATCAGTTCAGATACCCTAATTCAATTCTCAGTTGAAGAACAGTATTTTTTCTCGCCTTTACAACAAAATGACAATAACAAAACATAAAACACAAAGCAATTTATAAAATAAATTAAAATCTTGAGTTAATATATTGATTATGGTCGAATTTCTTTCAGTAGGCCCAACACTAAGTGCTAATTTGTGGTTGGGTGATTGACGGACGTTTGCGACATCTGCCGGCCGTATGCTTATCTGATAAAATGTATTTAATTAATTAAGGGTACTCACGTTTTTAATGTAAATTGCACCGTCATTGAATTACCAGATGTTGCATGATGTCATTCTTTCGAAACAGTACAATATGTGATAGTAAAGCACAAATGTACACGAATTTTAAGCTGTTTATAATTCACGTGTTATTAATAATGAAATGAATAAGAATTTCTTTATTATTCTTTGACATGATGCAGAGTGAAAGATACTCGTAACTTGGAGTCGAAAGGAAATAAAGCAGCTCAAAGCTTTTTCGAGTAATCTATAATAGAAATATAACAGTTACTACTCGTTTCTGTTATTGACATTTTATAACTACATCAGAAACTAGGCTCTTGTGGACTCGGCGACGTAGGCGGTTTTCTTTTCTAAATATTCTTTAAAGGTGTCTCATTCATACTAAAGTGCATCAAATATCTAGTTATGTTAAATTATCGTCAATTTCATTGCTAAATGGTCGAAATTAATTTAGAAGTAAGGTACTTTGGCCATTCTATTATAGGTATACTACATGGCATTATAAGTATCTCTCGCTGTGATTGAAACGTTTCTAATTTTCGTTTAAAGTATTTAGTTTAGATACGAAAAAATATAGATACAAATAAAAAATTACGTACACACTAAAATAAATTAAATTGCGCTTATAAACCTCTCTAAGGTATTAATGATTAAAGTTAAATATGCGCTGTGTTAAAATAATCCATAGACTAAATTTTACAGAGTAATTGTTACTTTACATAATTCACACAATTCAGGGTTAACATAAGAGGTATAACCAGTTATACTTGTACTTAAGTTACTTAACTTGAAACCGTAACTCACTGTATTTAATTCCGTTGATAAATGTTTACTTCCTGTACAATTTTATATTGGTGGTTATGGCAGATTGATATGAGAGTCCGGTCACCGTCCTCGTCGAACCCGTCGCTTGCGACGAAGGGCTCGACGAGTAAATTAACTCTCAGACACAGCCCACTGAGTTTCTCGCTGGATCTTCTCAGTGGGTCGCGTTTCCGATCCGGTGGTAGATTCTGCGAAGCAAGGCTCTTGCTAGGGTTCGTGTTAGCAACGTCATCAGGTTTGAGCCCCGTGAGCTCACCTACAAACGTTAGGGTTACGCTGAAATAGCCTCTCAAGGCTCTCAGCTTAGGTTCGTATTTCGTCTTACCCATTTCTACCACGAAACTGTCATGCGTTCAATTTTAAAAGATATCACATTCTCAAATATTACATTTAAAAGGGCAACGGCCTATGCATATTTGAGTCTATTAGCTCTAACCTCTTAACACTAGATGAGCTCACGCTCGTCTATGGTTTTTTAATTCTTGGACAATCGAATGTAATAGTGAAAATAAGTCAAAGATGTGAAGAAAAATATTGACCTTCTCGCTGTTAAAATGCGATATTTTTCCGGCCAGGTGGCCAAAAAAACGATTGCCTAACTCAAAAACATTTATTTAAAAATCGTTAAGAATTTTCTCGATGTCCGGTCATCCTTAATAACTTAACAAGTTTCACTATTAATTTGCTTCCGATAATCGATACGATCATGAAGTGAGCTAATCATTTCGCTACGCCGAAAATTTTCTTCGCAACCGTAACTAAAATCAACAAGCATAAATCAAATCCATGCTTTAATATAAACCATAATTTTTATAGGTTATTTTTAGTTTGTCGATTTCATCAGAAAATTAATTTAAGAAATCTAAAAAAATTTACAAACTTAAAAATAGTATATCATGTCCAAAGGAACTGATTCACACTTGGATTATTTATAAAAAAAACTAGAAACTGAATCGGTTAACGATCTGTAGTTTACACGGAACGGCATAATGTCGTCAAGGTGACACTTTACAAAACTTGCATAAGGCCCGTCATGACTTACGCGAGTGTGGTGTTCGCTCACGCGGCCCGCACACACATAGACACCCTCCAATCCCTACAATCCCGCTTTTGCAGGTTAGCTGTCGGGGCTCCGTGGTTCGTGAGGAACGTTGACCTACACGACGACCTGGGCCTCGAATCAATTCGGAAATACNATTCACGCTTACGACGAAACGCGGATAGCACGTGGCAGGCTAATATTAGAGCATGCCACAACGCGCGCTCCGCCGTTTCCAACACGCGACACAGTGAAACACAGAGTGTACATATGTACTCGCAAGTCTGAACATAAATGATAGTTAAAAAAGTGTGTGCTGACGTCAACAATGAGCAACAGTCGCAAGTGGAGAGAATATGTTGCCGCACTCAGTGGTAAGTACTTATTTATTTTCAATTATTATTCGTACGTGCGGTAACGTGTTTACGGTAAAACGCCGGTTTTATTTGCGTCTCTGGTTGCAATGACGCGAGGGTAGCCTGTAACGTGAGGCCGGCCCTCGATCGCTTTGTTTACGATTAGTCCACACATGCGGCGACCGCTTTTTGCATTTATTTCCTTGTCGATGTATTTTCAATGGCAAAATTTGACCTTGAATTACTTTCACAGTATCTACTACACTTTCACAACATTAATTCAAGAGACTTGACAATTTTTTCAGTTATTTTTTTAAACTTGATTATTATTTCGTCCATAGACACTGTTTACATTATAATCGTGCGGTGTGGGAGTTTTTAATATAATAATGACCACCTTACGTTACCTACAATAACGATAAGCGAATTACTTAAGCTAATTAAGCTTGTTATTGTAGGGGTAGGTATATTTAGCTCATGGAGAAAAAACCGACCATGCTTCACTGTGGCCAAACAAGTGAAATAAGCCCATTAGTTGCGAAACGACTCGCGTGACATCTCTCGCGCGGTGGTTGTACTATACCAGAAACTGTCCCTGAAGTTTATAATAACAACAACTGTACAAAGATCCGACGCAATCTTATGATAGGTGCGCGACCGTAAAGAATACGAACAAACAAACCTTTTTTAAATAATAACGAAGATAAGAAACGCGATCAGAGGAAAAAAAATGTATTAAATCGTTTCGCAAAAGTTTAGGTGTTGATAAAAAATATCTAAGTGTACAAGTTAAAACGATTTGTTCATCGCGCGTGTTAGTTTAGTAAAATTGTTTTTTTTTGTCACATTTAATTGTGTTTAGTTTTTATAAAATGATAAGCGAGAAACAAAATATTCCTTTTTTTGCTGCCATTCAAATTTTTGACAGAAGTAATCAATCACGCAATTAAAATTTCCAACTTTTAAATAATTTGAACTTCATTCTCCATCAATTGTTTGTATGCAAATGACAGAATTAAAATAATGTGTTGATATTGAAATTAAGCCTAGAAATTATCAGTAAACTAGTGGTATGTTGTTGACTAGCTATCGAAATACTGATGTGTATTTCTACCGCAAGGATACATCTGTTCTAGTTTGAGGGATGGAATAACCATATTTGCCATTGGCACGTTGATTTCATGTCGCAAGATTTTTTTGCCAAAAGCTTAATACATATTAGTAGTACGACTTAAATTTAAAACAAAAAAGAAGATTTTTAGACTCAATCTAAAATTCGGGCAGTTTGGCTAAGTTAAGATATATATGAACATTCCGATCCCCAAGAATATGATCACTGTCTAAGAATTTCAATAAAGGAGGCTGTCTATTTTGTATGTGCGTCATAATATTAATAAATTAAAACGTCCGATTTGGAATATTCTTTTATTGGACGTATCATCCTTTAATCCTTAAAATATTAGTGCTTTACGTCGGGATTTTTTTCCTACCTAAGCTGATGGTCTTGATAGACCATTTCAGCGTAGCTTTAACCAGTAGGTGAGCTCACGCAGATCAAACCTGACAACGTTGCTAACACTAATCCTAGCAAGAGCAGTGCTTCGCAAAATCTACCACCGGAACAGAAACGCGACCCACTGAGAAGATCCGGTGAAAAACTCAGTGGGCTGTGTCTGTGGGCTAATTTACTTGCCGAGCCCTTCGTCGCAAACAACGGGTTCAGCGAGAATAACGACGAGTATACACTCAATCACAATACAACACCACCGACCCTTTATCTATAAATTTATTATTTTGCGCTATTTATTCATATCACACGAGGATCCTTCATCGAGGAAACCATCCTTAATCACATGTAGCATGTTTTTATTTAAAGCAATTAATAAACCTCCACGAACTTTCGACCGTCAACAGTTGGTAATTCTGATCTAAGTCGAGACAGCAATAAAAAACTAGTTCTATTAACGTACCGAATAAATAGGGCCCATAAAAACTGAGCTTATTATTAAATTATAAGTACGTGTGCAATTCAATGGTAATGAAGCGTCTCTGTAACAACACATTGCAATAATTGTTAAGTCTAGTTGCCGTGACCTAATAACCGTTTGGCGGAAAGATAACGTGTTTTTCAACTGTTGACAACAGATAATATCGGATAGCTACTTACAAACCTAGTGCTTTTTAACCTTGCCTATTTCTGCCGTGAAGCAGTAATGCGTTTCGGTTTGAAGGGCGGGGCAGCCGTTGTAACTGAGTCCTTAGAACTTATATCTCAAGGTGGGTGGCGCATTTACGTTGTAGATGTCTATGGGCTCCAGTAACCACTTAACATCAGGTGGGCTGTTAGTTCGTCCATACACCTAAGCAATAAAAAAATAAACCTGAAAGCCTTAGTTGATCGTGTTGTGATATCTATGGGCTCCCGTATCCCCTTTACATCAGGTAGACTGTGAGCGCTGGTAGATTCAGCGAAGCAATGCTTTTGCTAGGGCTAGTGTTAGCAAACCCTCCCAGGTTGAGCCCGTGAGCTCACCTACAGGTCCGAGCGTAGCTGGAATAGACCCTCAGGCTACCAGTAATTAGGAAGAGAAAAAAATATATTTTAAATGCTAAAATCACTTTGTTTTGCTTTCATGTCTTAACTAATCAGCCGATCATCGTGCAATTTGCCGTATAACATTATCAGGGCTAGAGAATAATGTATGAGGAGCCTTGCACCCAGAAAACACTATTCCTGTCGGATAGATTTTTTTAAACTAACACGAACTAAGCTGTACTTAAAAACTAGTTTAGAAGCACTTACATCGCGCTGTGTCTTATAGCGCTCAAATGTGATAGAAAGAGACAAAATTGAGTTTAACTCCAGTTTACTTTACACTAAGTTGATTAACATGGCCGTTATAGTTTAATCGTGTATTTTACAGTGAGATTTTCTTTTTTAGTTAAAAAATAAAATAGAGTCTTAATTTTCGAGATATACTATTAAAATTGTCTCACATGCGCCAAAAAAATGGAAAATAATAATTTAATAACAATTAAAAATATTGATTAGGCGGAAGCCACATCAATTACTAAGAATCAATTTCTGATTTACCGCAATTTAAAGATCAAGTAGATTTAAAATGACTGGTCACTGCATAAATATTTTCAATCGATCTTCTAAATAAGCTCAAAATCGATACAAGAAACAACAACGATTTTGCATGTAACCAAAATTTTTAGTGTGCAACAAAAAACGCTCTAAATAACCTCAATATATTAGCTGATCAAATTTGAATTTTCAAACCTCAAATTAAACCCATTACCAATAGAGGAAGATTGAAGAGGAAAGAGAATCGAAGAAGAAATTGGTTCACTTCTTTAAGCAAATACATATCTACAAAATGTTAATAATTTTTATTTTATCTTGCCTTATGTACGTGAAACGGTAAGCTGTTACTATAACAATATGTAGTGGACTAAGGATCACTATATTGATGCAAATTAGAAATTCTAATTTATAAATTAATCTAAAAGTCTACCACTAAAACGACCATTAACCCTACTAGAAAAAAAACATAATAACGTGCCTGAATGCGTGTAAATTTGATTCCCGAAATAATTCTTTAAATCATCGAACTATGTATATACTAGTATACACAACAATGTATAAGAGTATATAGTTCGATGATCTATCTTCAAACGCCCTTTTGACTTTAAAACGTCATTTAAAGCATGTATGTATCTCGCCTTTTATTCTGTTTAAAATAAATTGATAATTGATCTAATGGTCTACGCAATTTATGTCAGACCTATTATGGAAACCTTGCATTGAGATTCCCTTGAAGTTTATATAGTTTAAACATTGTGTAATGTCACGTAACATACCAATATACCTTATTATAAACTGTACCAGAAAAAGATCTATGAAATAAATTACTTTTTAAGACTATACATATTGTATACAGTCTCTCGCGGCCGATCACCCACAAGGTGGACAGACTTGGTTAAGTTTTCTACGAAGTGTTCCCTTGCTGAGTGTACACGTACCGCCACAAATAGAGAAAGATGGAGAAGTCTCTCAAAAGCCGCAACCAAATATTAAGACTTACGTAACCACGACCACTCCGCCAGGAGTGAACGACTGAGAAGAATACATATTGTAATACACATTAAACAAGTACTTTAGTCTAAGTGTAACTTTTATTTAATCTTAGAAAGAGAATTCTTACGCAGTGATTTTCCGAAACTGTTTTTTTCCTTCCCGTACTCTGGTAGCCCTAACAGGCTATTCCAGATACGCTATGGCTGGTAGGTGAACTCACGGGCCCAGCTTGAGAGCGTTGCTAACTCTGGCCCTAGCAAAAGCAGTGCTTCGCAGAATCTATCGCCAGATCGGAATCGTTCCGACACCGTAAGAAGTACTGCATTGCCGTTAATCAGATCTCAGTAGAAAGTCACAGTAAGTACAGTTCAATGATCGAGGTGGTAAACCTGGATCTTATTTACCGCCATTATCATGTGTTTACTTACGTCAAAAATGATATCATCCAATAAAAATACCTAACTTATATTAATATGGAAGCGACAGTCGCCCAATAAATATATCGGGATATGTGCAGGTACGGAATCAGCTATGCGGAATCCGAGGCCCGTGTTGTTCTAAAAATAGCCCTCGAAAAAAATATATGTTAATTTTTTTCCTCTTGGATGAAGTATCGCCGTCATCCCTGTTCCTGTCGCGGAAAAGTCAGACGTTCCGATTCTAAGAACCAACGTTAATTCAACGGAATTGAGACTTCGATCAGCGTCATTCATTTTACATATCTCATGGACCCTTATAATTGTTTGATATTACCTTCTATGCCTAGAGACATATTTAAACTAATTTTAATAATGGGTTACATTTTATTATAAAATAGGGCAAATTTCACAATATCATTAATTATTCTTATATTATTTTATATTTGGTAAAAAGTCATGTTATTAAAATACGTGGCAATGTAGAATCTGTTATATCTTATCGCATCTTGATAAAA